GACCTTACTTCGCCTTACTGATATTCGCGTATGCGAAATTTATTCTCCGTCATCGGGAGAGATCGCGCTAACCCCGATTACGCGTGGTCGCGGCCGATGTAACGATGTAGGCAGGGGGGCGCGTGGAAATTTTTTCCCATTTTGCGAGTCCGATATTATTTAAATATTATTTACAATAGGAAACGGTATGACATTACATATATAAACAAGATTTAAATTAAATAGTGTGTGTGTGTGTGTGTGTGTGTGTGTGTGTGTGTATTATAATAACCTTTAAAGTTTATTTACAGCGAATTGTAACGTTTAAAATTGTACGCGTGATGTTTTTCTTAATATTTTTATATTAAAAAAAAATTGTCTCCGAATTTAAATGCAAATAATCAGTAGTAAAAGAAAGTTTTACCGAGAGTTTTTGTCTTCCTCGCTTTCTGCATACATTTAAAAATGTATACTTCGTTCCTCACTTTCCCTAATCAATCATATTTAATTTCCATAAAAAATATATTTATCAGACAGCTAGGGTAGTTTTGGATTGTCTCTTTGTACTTTGGGCCTCTGGAAATAGGGGAAGGACGTCGGGACGATATATCAGCGTCTCCGGGACGAATCTAGGACCTACGTATCTAGTGCCGTCTATCCAAGAATCGTCTAAACTCGGAAAAGCCCTGATCTTTTTTTTCCCACGTCGCCCGCGTGTATATACGCCACCTCCAATGAAAAAGCTTTCTATTAAATTAGAGAACGCGGAACCGGGAGGATTTCTTAAGCGACGCCTTCGGTAGAAAGTACCGTCGGAAAGATTTCAAAAAGTAGGACGACGCGAGTTATCTCGCGGCAGATATCTGACGCAAGGTCACGAGGAGCTTGCCAATCATTATCGAAGCCAAGCGAGACGCTCGTGGTATTCCCGACACGCCAGCTAGATCTGATTAATCGAGAATCTATTTGTTTCGAGGACAATAACGACCCGCGATAAAGGCCGCGTTATCTCGGAAACGTCATTGTTTCTGAACGTTATTTAACATCTACAACACACATCACAACGGAACCGCGTTGTTTTCGTACATATCGTAAATTCACACGTTTATAATACAGTCCATTAACCATTCCGGATCCTGGAAAATTATAGATCTATTTTGATGTCGGAATGTCGAGCGCATTTTATATTATTTTATATTTTTCCGCAATCGTTCGATATCTTGGAAAGATTATTATGTAGCTTTTTTTCTTCTACATTTTTTCAGATTTAATTCTGTTTTCTATCGTTTTATCATGAGGATTATTCTTGGAGCATTTCTCGGAAAATTTTGCTCATCGAGGACGCGACAGGCGCGATGGAAGGCCTATAATATTCGAACCTTGGTCGTGCTAATAGCTTGATTCGCTCGATAGCGTTTGCTCCGCGTTGCAATCTGGAGCCGCGCGCTATACTTGGTCGGTTCCACCCTTTTTACATTGGATGCTTTCCATTTAGTGACATAAGCGTCGTTCTATCTTTCTTGACATTCAATGAATAACAAGGACAAAAGGATACTTGTGTCGACCTGTGTCACTGAAAGCACCCATTAGTAGCGGAATCCTGCAGAACTCTTTCGATAGTTTATCCGGTTCGTTAAACAAATAACTTTACATCTGCGGAATCGCTCAGACTCTATGACGATTATGGGAAAAATTAATCGGCAAAATACAATCTTTTATAAAATTGCTTGTAGAAAAATTGCGAGATAAGGATTGTAGAAAAATTAATCTCCCGTTTGTTGGAGAAAACGTGGAGGAAGCGCGATACTTGTGCCGCTTCGACGTTACGCACGTACGAAAAAAGCGTCACACGATGGTCGACGTCTCATGTGAGCTTTATTTGGAATGATATTCGTCGTAGGGGAAAAAAGTCTCATCGCCCCTGTGCGATGAGAGGAGAGAGAAACCGGGCGCAGATCCCCGTGGTGGTGTCGCATTGCGGCGCACGGGGGGCAAAAGTACCACCCGATGTACCGACCTCGAAATGTGCGACAGACGACGCACTCGAAACTCGAGCGAGGCCGTTAGAAAATCGAACTACGAAAATGTAGAACACGCGACCCAGAGGGAGATAGAGAGAATGAGAAAGAGAAAGACAGGCTGGAAA